ACTCTACTACAATCAAGGGTTATTTTGATAGATTAACCACTAGGAAATAATTTCATATCTGAGTTCCTACCTGACATTTGTTGCATAGTTTGTGTTATAGTTAACAATAGATTTTACTTATAGTAAAGTTTTGTTCCCTGATCCGAATTGTTTAATCCCGGAGGATTGTTTGTTCTTCCGAATAACATCAACACAGATTTCGAGTAGATAGAAAGTATTCGAATTTCTCAACAAATGACCAGTAATTTTTTAAGTCGAGCCTGATCTTGACTAGTTATTGTTGGCCTTTAACTTATCGTTTTCTGCATATTGCTTCTCATCATTTTTCTCTCCTCATCTTCATCTTCTTGAATATCAAGTAGCTGTTAGACACATGGTTGCATGTTCTAGTCATTCAAGCAGTTCGAATTTCATATGAAAATAATGTTAATAACAATGATTAGTAAGTTTATAGTTAGTTACTCAGTCAGATAGCTTGTAGTGATTTGAAGATAGGTTTTATCAATGATGGTCATTAACGAACACGAATCATTTAAAAACCAGTTACCGACTAGTGTCAATCCATGATAAAAATCATTTTTAGGTTAACTAATCTCCATTATCCGAAAATTAAACTAAATTTCAAAATATGTGCATTCTGGTTATTGGTTGAGTCTATGTTTTGTCTTGTTTGAGATTCTTCAATTGAATGTACTCACCAACCTGTCATCCACTGTGCCACAGATTCCAGATAGCAATTAGCTTGTACATTAGTTAGAATGTTTATTCATAAGGGTTTGTATTACCGTTACCTCATTGTTGATACTGAGGATTTAATTTTCGTTAGTTTTGCTTAGTTTCACAAATAAAACGAGATCCGTTTTCTAGATTTAGTCAATAACACAGTTCTCATACTTGTTAAATACAAGCTAAATGGAGGTGATTCACTCTAGATGAACGTCTACTAATAAATGGTGATCATAGTTATATAAGTTCATAGTTATATAATATACCCTTGTGGGCTAGGGTAATTTTACATTCGTTTTCAGGAGAACCAGACACTATCCAGAATTTCACGTGACAACTCAAACAGTACAGCTCAATTCTGTTCAACAGCAGGGCCAGACACCACCCAAGCTTAAAATTTGTAGCCCAAATAATACGGCTCAACCGTGTTTTCAAGAGAACCAGACACCATCCAGACTTAAACTTTATAACCCGAGCAGTACATCTCAATCCTGCTTCACAAGAGAACCATACATCATATAGGCTTTAACGCTACAGTCTGAATAGTACAGCTCAATCCTATGACGCAACCACAGAGATACCAAACACCCTGATGGACCATTCGCATCATTCGTATACACACATTCACATCACATCTATAGTTATTCTGATCAATGATCGCATAATCAGTTGTATAATATCAAATCATTAAGAATCAATTTGATGAATAGGATAAATTCATAAGAGAATATATTATACACAAATATTAACTTTTGCTTAATGCTTTCATATTCTCTCTTTTATATCAAACTATAATCAACCAGTTGATTCCTATTTACTTTTATTCTACATTTACTGATTATGTTATGCATATATAAATGAGTCTGATTAATAGAGACGGTGTTTGTGTGTGTGTGAGTGAGTGAGTGAGTGAGTGAGTGAGTGAGTGAGTGAGTGAGTGAGTGAGTGAGTGAGTGAGTGAGTGAGTGAGTGAGTGAGTGAGTGAGTGAGTGAGTGAGTGAGTGAGTGAGTGAGTGAGTGAGTGAGTGAGTGAGTGAGTGAGTGAGTGAGTGAGTGAGTGAGTGAGTGAGTGAGTGAGTGAGTGAGTGAGTGAGTGAGTGAGTGAGTGAGTGAGTGAGTGAGTGAGTGAGTGAGTGAGTGAGAATGAGATCAAAACCCTTGCTATAATTAATGCAATTACTATGATCACTAATATAATTATTGAGAATTGAATGAAAGTAATCATAATCTAAATAAATACATTAATGAATGTTTAATCATTTCTCTATGATATCAAACAGTGAAAGAGAGAGATAGAGAGAACGAAAGAGAGAGAGAGGTAATTATGTTTTGTTTCTTTATTAATGATCCAATATAGTACATTATTTATTCCATATACAATTCAACATATAAATGTACCAATCTATGATTGAATCTGCCGCGTTTATTTCCTTTCAATGAAAGTCCAATTAATTTTCATTGTTTGTTTATTATGACTTGTTGTATAGTAACAGATGTGAATTAAGTAATCATAATCAAATTGTATACACTGAATGAATAATGAGAATAAATATCCAAAAGAGAGAGTTAGAGAGAGAGAAGAAAAAAAGCAAACTAATCATAATGTACAATACAATAATGATTGATATACACACAATTCATTGAATGAAATCATGATTATTCATTTGAAACAATGATATACTAATGGACGGTCTATACTCCTCCTCCACGAGGAGTAGTGACAGGCGTAGTTAAGTATCTAGAATATGATCAAAGGGATTAATATATTCGGTTAATATACTATTCATATCATTCAGTTGACATATATATATAATAATGTCTAATAAACATATACAAACTAATAACTATAATAAAGCATTATATAATTTCAACAATTAAGATCATGAGTCATTTGAAGCTAGACAACCATGGAAAATCTGGAAGCACTGGGCGGCCGCTTCTTCCTATCGTGGGACTCCTCAGCAGTGCACATCTACGACCCCCAGGATTTATCAGTCTCGAACCAGACGCTTAACCAACTAGACCACTGAATCGGCCGGCATCCAACGGTGTTAATGTCTAACTTCAACTAATCCAGGAAATTGACCGACACATCCATTATATAATTACCAATAAATCACTATTATCCTATACACAAAATCCTTCTTATTTGTTCTCATTTTATGTTTTTTTATTTATTATTTTCAATCATTATAGTATGAGAATAAAATGGTATTGCATATTGCTACATAAATAAATTACATGTTAAATTTCAATGGTTAAGATCATGAGTACTACTGCTGAGGAGTCCCACAATAGGACGAAAAGGCCTTCAAACAGTGCTTCCAGGTTTTCGATGGTGGTCTAGCTTCAATTGACTCATGAAAAAAACTTAACCATTGAAATTACTATAATATCCACAAAATCCATCTGACATGTTAAATTGTTTATATCAGTGAATTTTATGATATGATTGTTATACTTTTTCATTTTTTTTCCCTAAATCCCTGTCGTCCATTGTTATATCTTGTTTGTTTCAATGCTGAATTGTCTTGTCTCTTTTAATCATTACTTGTTATATCTGGTCATCGTTGATTGTTATGACAGAAACACTTATCACTTATACTTGAAACAAGAGATCTCTGCAATTCCCAATACGCGAAAGTAAGAACACAAAGACTGGTATAAGTGAAGATTTATTAGCCCAAAAACACTATGACAACGACGACGACCCTAGTCGAAAATACACTTATTTATATATTCATTGTACACCCATTTTGATTAATAATTAGGATGAAATCACATATACGAAAAATACTTAGAGTTATAACAAATCATATACTGATCATAGTTCATGTCTATTGAATAGAAAAATATCGAAGCACTGGACGGGACGGGATCGTGGATGCACACCGCTGAGGAGTCCCATACTAGGACGAAATGGCCGTCAAACAGTGCTTCCAGGTTTTCCATGATGGTCTAGCTCCAACTGACTAATGATCTTAAGTATTGAAATAATTTTTGTGTCACGTCAACATATATGGATTACTTACCACATAGAACTTGGATAACTTTAAACACATATGAATTGAATGAAGATTCTGTCAAGTTTTTTATAGTTAACATTTTCTGTTTATGAATATAAAAAACCTCAAAATGTTCTAGTGAGAATTCATGACTGGCAGAGTTCAGATATTTCCCGATTGGATTGAATGACTGTCACACTACATTTCAAATTGACTGAAGTTGAAATTGTACCATGGGAAGCCAAATGATTTATTCCGATAATAAAAAGCTCTCCTCGAGGCCTGAATGCCTTAAATTCGATATGTGTTGGTGTTATTTACTAGGATGAATCGAATGTTTCCTAGTTTTCAATGGTATCTCTGTGATGAATACAACCTACACATTAGATTAATCTCCATAAAACATTTGTAATAATAAAAATATATGCACACCCTATATACTTGACCAAACCATCTACCTGAATGAGAACAATATGAGTGTGTAGGAAGCAACAGAATCAAGAATATATGTGCAACTGATTCAAAAATATACAACTTTCTCTTTCGAAAAGTAAAGTCAAATTTTCAGCCAATAGCGCATTGTTCTTTCTTTGGAAAATAAAGCCTAATTTTGAGTAATAACTTGCTCTCTCATCAGCTTCTGTCACTTATCATTTGGTTTATGTTTGAATGTACTAGCGTGTGGCTATCGGAATTTAATGGTCAATACCACAGCCTAGACGAATGATCTTATTTAGTACTCACTGATTGATCACTCCCATATCCTCAGTCTTCTGAGAGGTTGATCTCATCCTCGATATCTCATTGATAAAGTCTTTGAGTATGACACTGAGTGACTCTGGCTCAGATCTTACAGTTTCCTGAAGACTGAGGGTATGCCTTACTTTTTATGTATGTCAACTAACACAGGCCCTGAATAAAACAGGGTTTTCTACTGATAGTCCATAGCTTTCTGTTTATTACATCCCACCTTTATCTTTGAATTTATGGTAACTTGATAAGATCATATTTAACTCAATTTCATTAGCTGGATTGATTTTTCTCAAGGACAGTATGATTTCATAGTTCTATCATCATTTCCTTATGATTCACTGATCATAGCAGAGAACAAACTGTTTAATTATATGAATGAATCTGTTTGGTAAACTAACGGAACTTCGTTCCGTAACACATCGTCAAGGTGACGATAATAATAACAAAAAAAACTTTTCCTCAATACTACACTTCTCAATTGTTGATCTCTTCGTTTATTTTACAAATATTTTTTAGATCTGTGATTTTGGTTTAGCTCGTATAGCTGATCCAGAATCAGAACAATCGGGTACATTAACAGAGTATGTGGCTACACGTTGGTATCGTGCACCAGAAATAATGCTTACATCGAAATTATATACTAAAGCAATTGATATTTGGTCAATTGGTTGTATTATGGCTGAAATGCTTAGTAATCGTGTTCTATTCCCTGGAAAACATTGTATCCTTTTATTTTCTTTTTTAATTACAAATATTACATAATATGTATTTCTCTATTTTGTATTAGTTTGCTCAATAGATAATCCATTAAGGCACTAAATCAAAACAAAGGGTACTAGGTTTAGGTCTCAGTATGAATAAAAACTACACTAAGATATCATATACACATCCAAATGATGAATCTTAAATAGGATAAAATGTTCATCTTGGATACCTTTGTTACTCACTGTTCAAATTTATCAATATGTTACTTTGTTTGATCACTTAACGGGTCTTTCATTATTGATATTAATACATAAAAAAAGGTCTACCATGATCCTTGGTATCTGTGTGGTTGCGCCACAGGATTGAGCTGTACTGTTTGATTTGTCGCATGAAAGTCTAGATGGTGTCTGGATCTCCTGAAAACGAATGTAAAATTACCCTAGCCCACAAGGGTATATTATATAACTATGAACGTAAAAATACACCCCCCCTCCCGGTTATTAGATGTAAATTAAACATTGAATCAATAAGAAAAAAATACCTAGACAGATATTATATTTTCTTTTGAGAACTCTTGATAATTCTTTGGGAAACTCTTCTGAAACCAAAGAAATATTCTGAATATACTTCAGCCACTTAATGTTCCTTAAAAAAACAACTTCTTGACAATTTCAAGGAAACGATGAATTGGAAAATAATTTAGTCCTCCTGGAGTCCCTCCGGAGGCTACTGCCGGTCCCAAGCCCGGATAAAGGAGGAGGTTTGGGCATGGGATTAGCGACCCCATCCCGTAGAAAACTAACTCGCTATTAAACGCTAACCAATTTTAGAATCTTGTTCTGAAACTTCTGATCCTATCTAGTCTTTTAAGTGCCATTATTTTCTGTAGATAAACTCAATCTTTAAAATGAAACTTTTTTTGTACTTCCAACTTTATATTCTTTTTTTTCTGTTCAGAGTTCAAGAGTAGGAAGATTTATGAGGATTGAAAAGTCAGTGTTTAAGCGCTTAAGTCTATGTTGATAATGTTGTTCAGAAGAACAATGAAAGCTCCACAACTAAAACCATCCAGCTCAGAGAATAATACTTCACCAAATTCATAACAGTCTAGAACTCCTAACATTCATGTTTATCGATAAGTTCATATAGTTTAACAAGGAGTGATCACAATCAAACCATTCAGCTTAGAGAACAAAACTCCATCAGGAATGACCATTCTCTATTATGTCATCAGTTGCATTTTTCACATAATGATCTACCCCCTTCCAGCCAAACAAGTTTGTGTAACCTAGTAGACCTTGCTGGAGAAAAAACAGGCCACATCAAAGCACGGCACAACTACCGGGGCTAGAATAGCTGTTTTTGCAATCCGTTGGAGTTTGCTCTTTGACAAGCAACTCCGTATGTTATATGCACTACTTTTTTAACTTTTTGTCGTTTTCCAACCTAAATGTAATTGTGCTGTTTCTCCGTGGGTTTCGTAATCAGAGTGTGGACATCGGTAAGAGTGGGTAATTAGCCCGATCTCCACTACTCGGGTTACCGCTCACATTAGTTCATGAGTCATTCGTCCCACTATCCAGGAGGCACGACGCGGACGTGTGACTCGGATTTTACTTTCACATAACGATCTATTTATCTTTAATTCATTTCCTTTACATACTTCCACTTTCATTTCTTAAAATGATAACATTAATAACAGATATTGATCAATTAAACTTGATATTACAAGTTTTAGGTTCACCATCAAAAGAAGACTTTGAAACAATTGTAAATCTTAAGTGAGTTTTATTTATTTGCTTTACGTTTTATGAAAGTTTTTAAGCTATAAAGCTATATGACTATGTAGAGCTGAAGGTCTCATATGAGACTAGAGGTTCGCCATTGATATTGTGGGATGGTTCGGCGTTACTTTGGCAAGTTTTGTTAACTGCTGGTTAACCGATTTCATTCATACCGGTGGTTGCTTTTCAGTGTTCTCCAGAGCCATTGTCATTGCGACATTGTAAAGTATGTCACCATTGCTAACATTAATGAGTTTGACTGGCGTGTAAGCGAAATAGGTCAATTTTGGCCTGTTCGTGGTATGCACAATTGATTCACGCGATCATTTATCGGAATAGCTATACACGTGACGTGAATGTGTATATGAATGATGCGAATGGTCCACCAGGGTGCTTGGTACCTGTATGGTTGCGCCACATGATTGAGCTGTACTATTCAGATTGTAGCGTTAAAGCCTATATGATGTCTGGTTCTCCTGTGAAGCGGGATTGAGCTGTACTGCACGGGTTATAAAGTTTAAGCCTGGGTGGTGTCTGGCTCTCCTGTTAAACAGAATTGAGCTGTACTGTTTGGGTTTTCACGTGTCTGGTTCTCCTGAAAACCAATGTAAAATTACTCTGACCCACAAGGGTATTTTATATAACTATGAAAGTTTTTAGCATACTAATACGAATGTTGTAGATAACCATGATCATTGAATCAACATTTTGTTTCTACGATGTGTAAATTTCCAACATGATACGCAGATGACTATTTCATGCCAACGTTATAATCTAAGATTATCCAAATGAGGAATTGTTACGTCTATCACTGTCATGTCGGATTGACGTAATCTGTATCATTTGCTAGGTTTACCATTCAGAATTTTTTCTACCCTGTGTCTGCTATTCCGTTTAAAGCCTAGAGATCCTAATCTTGATACATGTTACGCTCTGACTGATGCAGTTAACCTTGAGCTTTGCTCTTATTGATCCGCTAATACTCATGTCTTCTTATATCTCCAGCCTTGAGTTTATAGAAAAGACAGTAGACCAGCTACCACAACACTATTACTATATTTCATGTAGCCAGCCAACAGCTGTCTGAAGCACTGATTTGCTTATATCCATAACATACTGATTAATGTCACACCACAAGTGTTTGTGAGATGGGGATAACTATAATTTATTGATTGGCAATAATTGAAGAATACTAAAACATATAGCTTACGATAAACAGAGTAAAGCAACATAGTAGTCTAGTTGACTAGTAATTATCCAGTAAAGATATAAATGATAGTAACTATGAAAATAGTGCCGAAATTTCCAACTTCTCCAATACTTATTCTCTTATCATAAGTAATATGTTGAATCTCTATCATTGAATTCCAATGTTAATCGATTGTCGTCAACATTTAAATCATATAAAAAATTCTCTTTAGTAGTATTATAGCATTAAATAACATTGAATTAATTTATTGTTATACATTTCATGTCTTTATACCAAGACAAAGCAGCCATCCAGTGCTTCCAAGCTTTCCATGGATGGTTTAGCTTCAATTGACTCATGAATTCACCTGTTTATTTTTTTTATTGAGATCATGAGCCGATTGATGTTAGACCACCATTAAAAACCTCGAAGCACTATACGGCCATTTCGTTCTATTGTAGGACTCCTCAGCAGTGCGCGTCCACAATTCCGCCCGCGGGATTTGGACTCAGGGCTTTCAGTCTCGCACGTGAACGCTTAACCTATTGGATCACTAAGCCGGCATCCAATGGTGTTATTGTCTAACCTCATTCAATCCACGAAATCGCGCGACCATCTTCCATTGTACTTAGGTAGACACTTGTTTCTACCCGACACGGATTAGCTCCACTAGTCAAGGCTTCTCACCAGAACTCCGAGAATTTTCTCACGAAGCTAGTCACTACTGAGTACATGGTAATTATCTGTATAGGGGTTGTGGAGATTGTTAAGTTTTTTATTGACATCGTGAACCGATTGATGTTAGACCACCGCCGGCTCAGTGGTCCAGTAGGTTAAGCGTTTATGCGCGAGACTGAAGGCCACGGGTTCGAATCCCGCAAGCGCGATCGTGGATCCGCTATGCTGAGGAGTCTCACAATAAGATGAAACGGCCACACAGTGCTTCCAGGTTTCAAATGGTGGTCTAACATCAATCGGTTCATGATTTCAATCAAAAACTTAACCATCTCCACAACCCCTATACTGATATTTATTATTTGTTAACTACTGATGAATTATTTTGTGGTGAAACACTATTCAAAAGTAGCTCACCTATACATGAGTTAAAGATGTGCTTACATTAGTGCCTAATTTCAAGATAAATTCTTGAATTCGTACTGAGAAATAATGACTTGTGGTATTAAACCATGGCACGAATAGTATCACATTTAATGGTCATTCTAATGTATGTAGTCAATTAACTAAAATTTGAATTGTAAACAGTTAGTTTCCAAATTATTTAATCCAAAATCAATTTGATCTCTTTAAAAATTGAGGGTTGGCTTCATGTCTAATCATTTGTGTATTCACATTGCTGAATAGTTCCAAACTGTAATCAGTGAGACTATAGTTTATGGACGACCTTTGAGCGACGGTAAAATGACCTTGAAAAAATTCACCTACTTGCGACGATCAAAAGAGTTATATATATTAGTGTGAGGAATTAGCAGTTTCTTGTGATATCAACCATTACAGATTGTCTTGATATTAGTTAAAAAATTAAAGGGTAATGTGGTAAGATATACATAAGATTAACAGTCTATATATATCCATAAAAACGTTTTTCTATTGACTACACTAAACAACCATGTAACACGCAGATAAAGATGTTAAATTACTTACATCTGTTACCTCCGTGGAGCACAGTACGCTGGCCAGGAATCTCCTCCCAAATCTATCTTTGGTTCTTCACAGTCTGATTTTTACTTCTGATCCCAAACGATCAATTCTTTGGTCTTCCTCTTTTTCTTTTCCCTTCACGATTCTAAGTTAGCGCTTACTTCGTGATGTCGTCTGATGATTCCCTCAATGTATGTCCTACACAATTCCAGCATCTTTCTCTAATTCCCTTCTCAGCTGGAAGCTGGTTTGTTTCCTCTCACAATAAACTGTTTCTGATGGTGTCCGTCCAACGGATATTGAGTATCTTGCGTAGATAGCTGTCTATAAATACTTGTACTCTTTTGACGACGGTTGCAGTAGTTCTCCACGTATGACCTCCGTGCAGTAAGACTATCTGTAGTGTTGCTAATCGGTCGATTGGTACGTGTTCGATTCCAACGAAAATCACTTTGTTGATGTGATAGTTGTGCATCTAGTGAATCTTTGATTCTGTTCAATAACAGTTGTTCTCCATATTGCCTTCCTCCTTTTCTAATAGATCATCTGAGGCTTGTAACTTATTTCTGAGAGTTATCTCGAAGTCATTGATTTTCTAAACATCTCGAAGAACGTTCGTGTGAAATGTTGTAAGACTGACTGTTGAGTTATGCAATGCTTGTTGAGCTTGTGTTTCAGCTGTACCACCACCAGATGGTGATCGTAGATCGTATGACCTCCTCTCTGTGTTTTGTGCTTACATGTTCCATGGACCTCGTAAATTTTCAGTTGTTGCAGATATGGTTGATTTGGTGTTTTGTGGTGTGATCCGGTGAGTCGCATATAGCTTTGTGTATGTGTTTGTAATGGAGATTGATGTCACCTATAACCATTTTGTTGGGAACATATTTATATATATGCTAGTCTTTCACCACAGTTATTTATTTTACCTATTACATGTCGCCCGATTACGTTTTTATATCCGTTGTTGTCGATCGCGATTATGATATTGAGGTGGTGCATCGGGATGATTAAGTGTTTTGTTTATGAGTTCTGTCGTAGAAATTTCAACCTTTCATTGAACTGATGATTGTCGTCACGTTCATTGCCATCATGAGTGTATTGATTGAGATGGATGATATTTATTGTGATCTTTTCCTTCTTTATTTCAAATGAACCTGGATCCATGAGATCTTTATTTTATAAGTACATTACGTACTTCTTTGGATAGGATCAGCGTAAATACTTGTGTGTGTCATGTATTTTCTACCTCATGATAAAATACAACTACACCTCTCCCGATGCTCTCCAATTTGCGTCCAGTGGTCGACCTTTTTGTTTCTGCAGCAATTTGAATGATCGTCTCTCAGATTTTACAGACATTCCATGTACCTGCATTAATTGTTGCTCTCATTGTCAGTACTGGTACTAACATCGTGATTTTCAAAGATTCTCATCTTTCACTTCAAAACTCCGTAACTTTTCTAAATGAAGACCCTTTAACTCCAACCGTTGAGTTTAAACCTAAGTTAGACATCGATTGAAAATTCAGGACTACTGAACAGTTGTACTGTCCCAGTGTGGGACTAACTAACACTACTCATGCACAGCTCCACTGTCAGGGATAGGGCCCACGACCTTTGGTGTCACTTGGATATCCTTAAACTCTAGACCACTGAGTCAGGATCCATTGATATAAAGTGTAAATTCAAATAATCCCTCATTATTAGGCGGTCATCTTTTATTGGTACCTTCTGCACACCCGACCATTGTTTAACTTTACTGTTCATGGTTTCTCACTAGAAATCAGAGAACTTCCTCTCAAAGCTAATCACTAGTTAACATATGATAATTTTCAGTATAGGGTTGAGGAGTTTGTTGAGTGTTATTGAACTTAGATTATGTTTAACGCTTGAATAGTTTGATGTTTTATAGATAAGTCTGATTAACGAAATTCCTCTGATATTTCATTGTATTACAATGTTGTTAGTATATAAAACTCATCTCATATCGAACTCAGTTTCAGCAACCAGATATTATCAAAAGCATTCTTATAATGAATGTATTCTGGGATGAAATAGACTACATAAACTACAGCAACCTATCAAATCAGTCAGTCAGCTACAACGTAGGACCAGGCACATTTATGCATTGGTCCAAGTTGCCATACCTCATTAACACAACAAGATGAACACCGAATTCATAAAAGTAGTTAATTCAGAGGTGGTAACATATAAAAGAAACATTGCATATAAGGATATAGTACAGGAAGAAAGAATTAATTGGTAGAAATAAAGATATGAAGCGATTTTAATCTCTTAGATTAAGGGAAGACAGACAGTATATATGCCCACGCAGCCAGGTCACCAAGAGTCTCCAACCATTGGTTACGATAGTCACGCGGACCCCAACCAAGTAATCTGCATCTAACAACATGGCTCAAATCAGTTGATTTTATTCAATTACTACTATCGAGAAATTTTTGTAATCGTATTCAGAAAGAAATATTTACCATTCGCTTTATGTTACTTCAGGCTCGTGCCTATTTAGAATCATTGCCACATCGTACAAAAGTACCATGGAAACAATTATATCCATACGCTAGTGAATCAGGTAAGAAATGTTTTGTGAATTTCAGCTTTTATTTGTTATTAATTTGTTTCTGATCATTTTAGATGTTTCATGATGATGAGTTAGATTTGAAGGTTGGTTACTGAAGACAAACTTTTAGCAATTGATTCAGTCTACATTAACCTGTATTTCCAACGTTGTTCAATATTATGCAACTAATAATTTATCATTATTATTATTTCATTGACATAAAACATAAGAAATTGATCTATGAAAAACATTTTTGATCAGAATGCGGTTTGTGATGATTGTAGTAATTTTGTTAGTTGAATGTTTGGTTTGATCTAGAGCTCACTAGTGACTGGCTTCAAGATGATTTCCTGAAGTTCTAGTTAGAAGTCGTGACCAGTGGAGTCCAATCCGTGTTGAGAAGAGACAGGTATCTACCTCAGACAATAGATGAATAGTTGTTGAGCTAATCATGGATCGATGAAAGTTAGGCATTAACACCATTGGATGCTGGCTTAGTGGTCTAGAAATTAGGCGTTTGCACACGAGGCTGAAGGCCCTGGGTTCGGATCCTGCGTGCGGAGTTGTGGACGTGCACTGTCGAGGAGTCCCATACTAGGACGGAAGGGCAGTCCAATAGTTCTAGGTTTCCAATGGTGGTCTAACTTACATCGATTCATGAATTCAACTATTAAAAAGAAATATTTTTAGCTGAAACTTAACTAGAATGTATTTAATAAAGAAGAAATCGTGACTCGGTCAGTATAAAAACGATGAATCTGAAACTAGACTTTAAATGGGACATAGCGGGTGACATTATAACACGTCGACTCAAAAGATTTGTCGAAAAGACGTTTTATACAGCCAAGTTAGACGTAATTCTCTCGACTAAACCAGTACTTACATAACAAATCAAGGATGGGTTACTGATGATGGGCTCCTTCTTGTGTGAAACTTTGTCTTATCAATAAAGATTCTATACCGAAACACGTAATTATCATCTGAAATTCGCTGATTTCTTTCAAATACATTTAATTTAGACTATGATTTATATTTTCATCCTAAAATGCTATTTCGGCCTTAATTCCAACTGAATTCTTTTGATCATGTTGCAATGTAACTATCAGTTTAAGTCACTAAACACCAGTATGCCTACCTCCATCCCATTGATAAACCAGTCGTAACTCAAAGAAGTAAAAATAAAGTTTCTAGCTGTGCCATCGAATGACAGAGGTTTACATCCTACAGGGAGTTGTGATTAGTTTCCTCGAATAATTGCATTTATGAATTGTTGCTATAATCTTAGGTTGAGCAGGGGTTTTTGTTGATTATCTCAACACTGAAATAGTTTCACTGAATAATAACTTTCATCAGGCAGAAATATAGAATATGCATAAACGTTTTTCCACTGACAACATCTAATCATTTAATATGCTATGATGTTATTGTTGATCATTTCTTTTCAACAATCATTATTATAGCGCTGGATTTATTGGACAAGTTACTATGCTTTGTTCCATCACGACGTATAACAGTTGAAGATGCCTTAGCTCATCCATATTTAGAACAGTACTATGATCCAACAGATGAAGTAAGTTCTTATGCATCAAATGTTCTGAATGTTGTGTCGAGTGATTGTTTATAATGATTACTTACTAACTTAATTAGGCCTATTACTCCTCATGGAGGAGCATAGGCCGCCCACCAGCACTCTCCATTCAACCCTTTCCTGAGCAATCCTTTCCAGCTCTTTCCAGTTGTTATTCATCCTTTTCATATCTGCTTTTATTTCCCGATGCAATGTGTTCTTTGGCCTTCATCTTTTCCAATTCCCTTCAGCATTCCAAGTTAGGGCTTGTCTCGTGATGTAGTTTGATGATTTGCGTAATGTATGTCCTATCCACTTTCAACGTCTTTTCCTAATTTCCTCTTCATCTGGAAGCTTGTTTGTTCTCTTCCACAGTAGGCTGTTGCTGATGGTATCCAGTCAATGAATGTTGAGTATCTTACGTAGACAATTGTTTATGAATACGTGTACTATTTTGAAGATGGTTGTATTAGTTTTCCACGTTTTAGCTCCGTACAGCAGAACTGTCTTGACGTTCGTATTGAAGATTCTCACTTTGGTATTGGTTGATAGACAGGTGTTTTGAGTTCCATATGTTCTTCAACTGTAGGAATGTGGCCATTGCTTTGCCAATCCTCACCTTTACGTCTGCGTTTAATTACTTCATAATAAATTGCAGGAGATGATTAACAGGATACCTTTCTTTCACATTTCATACCGGCTGGGACCTATCTTCAGAAAAGCATATCCAGAGTCTAGAGTGAACTAACAGTTCCTACCGGGTACGAACTAGAGTTACTTTGTACTGCTGAGGGTTAATCTATGTCTGACACTGATCTTTCAAATTGCATTTTCATGGATCAGTCTCTGTTCATTGAGTTCTAGCAGCCATATTTTGTATTCTTATTGTTACAGCAATAAATATGGATTGAACTTTGAAACAGTCACATGCGTACACCAACACACACACACACATAGGGAATATTTCATCGAACTTCCATAATACATCACGTACAACCAAGTGAAAAAAATTAGTCAATTTAAGTAATTAAAGACGTACAATTTGTATGTATGAATTATAAGGGAAAAATAGAGGGCATATTTTTCTAAAATAAGTTTTTTCTTCCATTTTCATTATCGACCCATAAATACTGAATTGAAAATATGAATACATTTAGTACCATACTTTTTCGTGATTTAGTTGAATTTAAACATTAACACCATCGTATGCTGGCCTGCTTAGTGGTCCCGGGTTCAAATCTCACGGGGCAGGATTAGGGATGAACACTGCTGAGGAGTCCCATACTAGGATGAAACAGCCGTTTAGTACTTTCAGGTTTTCCATTAAAAAAACTGTTAAAAACGTTGAAGGATGTAGACCAAAGTCAATCTTAATAGAATAGTTCCACTTATTCTACGACTTCAGATAAATTTTGAGCTAAATATTATCAATATATGCTTTTTTCTTATTGTTTCATCGTATTTATCCATATTCTACTTATCATCAGAATCTGACTATTCTAGTGATCTACTTATAACGATTTCTCAATCAAAATCTTCTAGATACTTAACACTGAATTTCTATGGAACTATTTTGGTGGAGTTTTGTTCTATGAGCTGGATGGTTTGGTCGTGGTCTTTCAGAAGAACGATGAAAGCTTCACGATCAAACCATCCAGCTCAGAGAACAAAACCACCAAAATCATCCACCTGAGCTACAAATCTTCTCCACCATATGGAATTATTTGTTAAAATCTTCAAGGATCTTTATGTAATTTGTTAATAGTTTATTCAATCAAATTGAAAGTCATCTGATCTTATCTTATTAACAACTGGTAATCTAAAATATCAACTGATCAAATGTGTTTTGATAATACGTTCAATGTATGAATCAAATAGAAGAAACTGAGATAAGGTGAAACTATAATTTCTGGACGACCTTTTAGCGACGCTAGACTGACAGACCTTGAGATTGTTCACTTAATAACTCTAGGAGTAAATAAGGGTTATAAACCCAGTGTGTGAGGAATTAGAATTATGATTTACAGTTGATGATTAAGGTAAGGAATTATATGTCAATACGCTATTTGACCAATTGGATGAGTGAATTTCGCGCCCAACTCCGAGACCTGTTATCTTATACGTGATTGGTTCTTCCATAAATTATAGTCTTATCTGAGATAAATTTAAATTTGTACTTCTGTTGAAATTTTCCACGACATTAAAGTGTTCATCATTCAAAATAAATGAATGTAGTTATAAGCTGCAAGTATTTCTGACCATTTTAACAAATTATATTAGTTACTCATGAAATGGACTCGTTCAGAGGTTTCTTATTAATATTAGTATAAGGAGCTCGTTGACATTATTAATCGACTTAAACTAAACAACTACTGGAAATCAGAAATAATAGACAGATACTTTGTCTTAATATGATACTCTTTAACAAAGTTCATCCATGTCACGGTCAGTGGTCGAATCCTGAAGCTTCAGATCACTTAGTTGATATTCAGTGCTTTACATTCATAATTTCAGTTCATTCTCATCACTACATAAACATCATTTACTGTCAACGACGAATAATCTTTATAATTTCTACAATAGGTTAAACTTTATCAATCACAGATTCTCATTAAAACTTTCAGAGTCCTTCTCTAATAAGAATAAAATTATTATTCATCTGTAGTTTATAATCTGCTAAATACAAATCCCAGTGTTCAATTACATTAGATTCCACTTACAACCGGACAACCGACCTATATACTGATATCTACTAGGATTTGATCAATGTTAACTTAAATAGAACAAGTTTTTTAAGCAAAGGTCGATAGTGGCTAGCAGTGGAATCCAGAATGAACGTTTCGTCCTGTTACAAGTAAAACAACATCAAGTGATTTTGAACTTCACCCCCATTGCACAAACAGGTGGCTATCAGGACTCAATAATTAACTAAACAACACGATGGCGTTTGAAGCAAACGGTACTGGATCCAAGTCCCACAGTGAACGTCAACTTTGGAATGCAGGTAGATCCAACTGACGAGTCCCAAATAAGATGAAACACTCATCCTGGATTCCCCTGCTAGCCACTATCCATCTTTGCTTAAAAAGCTTGTGATTTAAAGCTATAGAGACGAAATCCTTACAGAATGCACATATTTCAACCTAAGACTGATCAATTGCAGTCCTAAACATCAATAGGAAGATTCAAGTAAAACAAGTAAACCAAGTAAATTTCAACAGACCAAGTTAGACATCTTTTACAAATGTTCTTTCTTTTCTTGGTTTTCCAAAATATAAAATAGTAATTTTTACAAGGGTACTTGATACTAAAAAAAAACAGGAAACATTGTTGTCCTCTAAAAAAAATCAATCAATTCTAAAGACCAATAAACAATCTATCATTTGAAGTACGTACATCATGTAAAAAACAAACGATAACGACAATAACAATAATAATAATAAGAGAAGAACAAGAACAAGAAAAGCAATTATATTCAAACAACTGGTAATTTAAATCAAGGCACTAAACGATAATGTAAAGTATATATATACATTAAGGTATGTATATGTCAGAAATAGTTTTGTGGATATTATGGTAGTTTTTAACAGTTGAGATCATGAACCGATTGATGTTAGACCACCATGGAAAACCTGGAAGCACTATTTGACGGCCGTTTCGTCCAAGTGTGGGAATCCTCAGCAGTGCGCATCCACGATCCCACCTCCTGCGAGATTCGAACCCGGAACCTATCGGTCTCGAACGCGAGAGCTTAACCTCTACACCACCGAGTTGGCATCCAACATTGTCATCGTCTAACTTCAAATAATCCGGTGAGTTAACATCTCACAACAGACCTGGTTGAACTCCACTGTTCACTGCTTCTCACTAGAACTTCAGGAAATATCTCTTGGAGACCGTCACTAGTATGTATATGTGTATTGGATAAATCAAACACTTTGGTAGAGTTTTGTTCTCTGAGCTGGATGGTTGTTTGGTTATTGAGCTTTCATCATTCTTCTGAATGATATCATCATCAGTACAAACTTCATGCAGAAGTAAATTAAACATTAGATCGTACAATTAACTAAATAAATCTATTGAGATCATGAACCAATTGATGTTAGACCGCCATTGAAAACCTGGAAGCATTGAAGGGCCATTTCGTTCTATTATAGGACTCCTCAGCAGTGCTCATCCTTGATCCCACTCGCGGGATTCGAACCCAGGGCCTTCAGTCCCTCGCGTGAACGCTTAACCTACTGGACCACTGAGCTGATATCCGATGGTGTTAATGTCTAACACCAACCAATCCATGAAATTGCGCGACCATGTCCCATTGTACCGAGATAGATATCTGTCTCTACCGACAGGAGTAGCTCCACTGGTCACGGCTGGTCACAGTTTAAAGGTAAAATAATGCGCTTACTTCCAATTCTGAATAGTTGGAAAGTTCAACTTTTTATTACCCTTGAATATATATACATATACTACTGAAGTGTTCCATAAACAGGAAATATAGGTTTACTCAAGATTTCTAACCTATTGAATTCGACCACTTATTACTGAAAGACTAATGTGAGACTACACATTTAAATCTTATCGATTAAATTCACTGAATACTAATTAAAAACGATCAATTTGTTATTGGTTATTATTTTGGTAATTAGTTAATTCAATAGAAAGAGAGATCAGTATAAAACCAAAAACGTCAACACTTTTTGCCAATCCTCTATAATCAGAACAAGGATTTGTGGAGATTGTAGTAATTTTAACTGTTGTATTCATGAGTCGATCTAAACTAGACCACCATTAGAAACACTGAAGAACTAGACGGTCGTTTAGTCTTAGCATAGGACTCATCAACAATGCGCGTCCACCATCTGGCACTCATGACTCAAATCCAAGACCTTATGTCTCGTGAGCAAATGCTTTATCTCTAGACAACTGAACCGACTGAAGCTAGACATTAACACCGTTTGATACCATCTCAGTGATCTAGAGGTCAAGAGTTAGCTCACGAA